GGGCGAGGGGGGGGATTCTCCCCCTCTGCTCCGCTCTGTGAGACCCCCCTGCAGGGCTGGGTCCAGCTCTGGGGCACCAACAGCAGAAGGACACGGACCTGCTCGAGCGGGGCCAGAGGAGGTCACGGAGATGCTCAGGGGCTGGAGAGCCCCCCCTGTGAGGACAGGCTGAGAGAGTTGGGGGGTTCAGCTGGAGAAGAGAAGGCTGCGGGGAGACCTTAGAGCGGCCTCCCAGGGCTGAAAGGGGCTGTGGGAAAGGGGGGAGGGACTCTGGATCAGGGGTGTGGGGGTAGGACAAGGGGTCACGGGTTTAAACTGAAAGAGGGGAGATTTAGATGAGATGTAAGGAAGAAATTCTCCCCTGTGAGGGGGGTGAGGCCCTGGCACAGGTTGCCCAGAGAAGCTGTGGCTGCCCCCTCCCTGGAAGGGTTCAAGGCCAGGTTGGACGGGGCTTTGGGCAACCGGGGCTGGTGGAAGGTGGCCCTGCCTGTGGCAGGGGGATGAAATTGGATGATCTTGAAGGTCCCCTCCAACCCAAACCATTCTATCATTCAAGCCGTCTTTTGAGGTCTGCTGTGTTTGCTGGTTAAGCAACTAGGGGAGAGCCCAAGCCCCCGGGAAACCATTTATTTGTGAATCCCGGGTTCCATCTGCTGGTGGGCGCGGGGAGTGCGCGGGGCCGCCCGCCCGCCTGTAATTAATGTGATTTTATTATCATATTGGTTTCATCACATTGTTCATGCTTATAAAATTCAAACTCCACAGAAAAGAAATTCGTCTACTTAAAAGATCTCACTGCAGATAGGCATGAACTGATGGGAGAATTATTCAGCATCTTAAATTTGGGTAGATGCTATAGTTAACAGATTTCAAGCCCAGTTTTTCTCAGGTAACGTAATACAAAGACTCATACAAGTGTTATGTGCAAGACAATGCATGTGAAAGGATTTCTCCAAGGGCTTCGAGGTGTCTAACACCAGTCTGAACCAGAACCGAGCTGGTTCCCAGTTTGGTCACCTTGAGACTTCCCACCCCAAGGAGTGTTCCCAGGCCTCAGTGGTGTCTGTCTCACCTGGCTCAGACATAACCGAGCAAACTCCACGCTTTGTGATGGACTGACACCTGCAATACCGAGGAAAAAACCATATTTTTAAAGTTTATTAAAAGAAATGTTTTTATTCTGTAATCAGAAGCCAAGAGATGTGAGTTAAAAGGTGATTTTAATAGTTAAATTGGAATAGGTTGAGAACTCTCATTACTAACAGCTGTTTGCCAATAAAACATTCTCTGGCATTTTTTTTTTTGAGGAAACCTCGAAAGATCTTTTCACATTAACAGTCTCCAGAATGGGTGTTAAGTTTCCTATTATTGTAAGCAAAGCATGGGAAGCCTGATACCCTGCGTGGGAGACAGCCACAGGGCCAAGGAGGGCAGCGGCTGAGCAACAGTTGAGAAGTCACCAAGCACTGTTGCCAGTTGGACGAAAGAAGGAATTCCTGGGAAAAAAAGAGTTTTCAGAAGGAATCTGAAAATGAGTTGGGGTGACGGGAGCATGAATAAGTGATAGCTCCATTATTTTGGTATATAGAGGAGAAAGAAAAGGGGAAAAAATGTTTTAGTGATTCTGAAGAGACCAGAGTGGCCAGGGGTGACAAGAGAGGAGCTGAGGAGAGGAAAGAGATGCAGCACTGCAGAGCAAGCCGGCTGCTAATGCCCTCCATAATTCTAGGGAGAACAGAGAAAGAGGGAAGAGAGGGTGTTTGAGAAAGTCTGAGGTAGAAGTGGGGTGCTTGTCTGAAGGGTTTCCAAATCCTCAGATGAAAGGCGCTTTAACTGTTGTATAACCTTATTTCTAAAAAATAATATTACGTTCCCAGGATCACACATATGACCCCTTGTAAAACATCTGTCTGATTTTGATACCATCAGAATTTATTTGTTCAATTTAATTTTCATCAGCATGAAAAGATAACATATATACTCCAGTTCTTCAACCTGTTGGGTGGGTTTCATGGGTATCTGTATTTGTACGTGTATCACTTGCATTTATATATGTTTCTCCAGAAGCGCTGATTTCTTTTTACTTGACTTGAGCGTGAAAGCTCCTCTAATACTCCTCCTGTTTGGAGAACATCAGGCAGCTGTGAAGTAATTTAATGTACAGAAAATAAGTGATTGCTGATGATCCTAATCAGTCAGTTCTCTACTGCTCTTTGATATGTTGCTCCATCAAAGGAACAAATCACGAATGCGCAAATTAAGTGTGATTTAAGGACACTTAAATATTAACAGAATGGGGCTACAGATGAAATTGTAGCGGCTTTGATTCTGAATTTTCAAAATTCCTGTCAATCACTGTCATTGCTGTCATTATTTCAGATGTGTAAAAATGAGGTTTCCAAACCAGACGGCTGAATAAATCAGATAAGGCAAATACAGACATATGAAAGAGACACTAATAATTTCTGTCTGTAAAAGAAGTTTACTGGTTGCTGCTTGTTGAGAGGTTTTTGTACTCTGATAATCCAAGAAAAATACTAAGATGTTAAGTTTTTGTGCATTACTTCTAATTTAAATACCAAATCAAGAGGACTTGTTTCATGCATGTGATCAACATTCATTTTCATGTGCTGCATCAGGGTAATAGAGACAATAATTTTTTGCCATTCTCTCACTCTAGAGATGCTGTGGGTGAGGCTCTCCTGTCGAGAGACGCAGAAAATAAACACCTGAAAAGGAAAGTGGAGTAAAATCCAGGCTATGGGTCAAAATGCCGTTCGGTCACCAAGGTCACCACTGTGAGTAAACAGCAGCACAGAAGTGCTAGCGCAATTCGAGGAGCAGCCGCCTAATGTGCATCTGAGGGACAGTAATGTCTGAAAATTATCATGTGCTTTACCTGAATTTCATCACTGGATTCAGAGAGCACGGGAGCGTTTCCACTGATGCCTTCCCACTATGGGTCAGCTCATCCCCTTCCTTGTAATGAGATAACTACTGCAGATCAAGGTGATTTGACAATGTGCAGATTTTCCTTCTACTGATGCCTTTTTAAAAAAATTTTTCATTCAAAACATCCCCAGCTTTCACAACCAAGATATCGCATCCCTACTATTCAGGGCATGAAATGCTGAGAGGAACACACCCTATGTCAGGGATCACTCCTCCTGCCTGGGATATAGTTTTGTAGACTGCTTTCATTCCCTGCTAGCTTTACCACTGTAACAGAGCTATTCTATATCATCGTGTATATAAAATTATGTGCTTCAGCTATCTTGAGAGAACAGCTTGGCTGCAGAATTGGACGTATTGCTAGGGAACCGGTCCAGCAAAAAGCATTTCACGGATGCTGAGCAGCAAATGGATGGCTAACACTGCTGCCTGCCAGCCCCGTCACAGTGATGGGTAAGTGAAAACTGCTTATTGCTGCCATAAACGTCCCTCTGTGGCTTTTTTTTTTTTTTTTTTTTTTTTTTTTTTTTTTTTTTTTGTGCGTATGCTGTTCCTTTGCCATCAGTGAGATTGTTTGACTTTTCATGGGTTAACACAGTGCTTTGTGTATACTTCTATTTTTGAAAGCAATTAAAAAGCTGAGCGATATCGCACAGCGTGCTCCCGTGAGTCTCTACTAATGAAGGTGGTTACCTTCATCTAACCTTAGCATTTTTGATTCCACTGAGATATGCATTTCTACTTCAAGTAAGCACATCTGAACGACATTTTACCAGCATAAAAAATACCGCAAAACAAATAGCTCTTCCTGAGAAATACTTCACTTCAGCAGAGCCAGTGTGGCTGAAAGCTATTTTCATTTTGTCCTGTCTTGAAACCCTGATCACGATCTGTGAGGGCTGCAGCTTCTGTACCACCACCCTCCTTCCCAGCCCTATTTTTCCTGCTTTTTCCACAGCTCAGTGTTGAGGATTAGCAAATCAAACATGCAGCTAACACCTCTGGAAGTTTTTAAATGTACCCCGTCCTTCTGTAGGTGTGAGAAGCAGGGCAGCTCCCGTTTCACTTGAAGATAATGCAGTACAGTGGGCAACAGCAGGTCTTTGAGATGGCTTGAAGCCAATATTCCAGGATAAGACACATCACAACCTGCCACAGCCAAACCTCCAGCAAAACCACGCTTGAATGGGCCTTCCCAGACCACGATGAGCTTTGTTAGACAAAACACATAGCGATTCCTTCGTATGGACATCTGTGTTCATCATGCAAATAAAATAGTGTAGGAAAGCCTATGGAGGTGTAGCTTTTATGGGTGGTCCCTCTTTCTCTGTCCTGTCCCCGCCCTGCTTTAGTCCCCTTTGAAATGCTTCAGGAAATTAAGCTGCCAAGCTTTTTTTCCACTTTTGAGGAGTTAGTTTTCTGATGTGTTATCTCACTCATGCAGAAGAGCAGAAAGGCAGCAGCAGGAGTAAGGCTGCTGGCGGAGGGAGGTTGGCAGTGGCCAGCCTTAGGTCACTTGGTCTGCAGGGTCCCATGTTCCCCATCCACTCCTGTCACTGCCCAGGAAGCCGAGACTGAGTTCAAGCTTTCAGGAGCATCCAAAGAATGCAAGCAATGCAAAAAACTCCCTGGATTTAAATAAACAGACCCAATGAAGATTCCCCAACACTTCAAGGATACTTATAAGGAAAAAGTTAAAACATGCTTTAGAAACCTGCTACATGAATCAGGGAAAATAAAGTGCAATTCCCAAGGCACATCTTCTCTCAGATCAAAGTTTCTGACTTGGACCAGCATCTTCTGTGATCTTCTGCATGTGGGCAAAAACAATTCCTTTGGATGGGGTTTCTGGGTGTATAACCAAAGAGAAGGAAAACTTAAATATTAAGAGTTTTCAGATATGCAGAAGGGCTTTTGTGCCTGTTTCTCCTTCCAGTTTTCTTAGCTGGCCTCAGTGCAGACTTCCACCTCCTCCAAAACCTTTGCCTTTAGTCTGTGACCCCTGCAAGAGCATTTTCCAGAGCTTGTATTTGTATTATATATTGTTCTATTGTAAATTTCTATTGTTTCTATGTTGTTGTTCGGGGTTTTTTTTTTTTTTTTGTTTTGTTTTTTTTTTTAATTTGTACACAAATAGCAAAACCATAAGATGTGTTTGTGTTACCTGTCCACCGTGCCACCCTTTTTTGGAGGCCACAGTGGTACATACATCTGAGGAGCGCATCCATCCTGTACGTCCCAGCCCAGAC